GGGGGGGGGGGGGGGAGAAACCGTTTGAGACAGTCGCCCAGAGCGCTGTCTCCTGTGTTGTCTGTAGCAGCGAGCTCATCGCGCCGCTCTCCTGTTCTTATTGATACAGTTTGTGTTTTTATTGGTCGTCGTACTGTAGCTGCACTGACTGGGACTCGAACTCATCTGGAGTCAACTGTACTTTCACTCTGATCACAGCAGATATTACAGTGGGACAAGAATGAAATGATTTAAAAATCTGTTCCTCGATGTGTAGATAAAATGTTAAAAAGTGCTTTGGTAAAAAAAAAAGAAAAAAAAAGATTGACTGGTTTCTGCGCCTTTACCTTTAAATGATAATGAGCCACTAGGGGGCTCTACACACCTTGATTGATGATTAAACCTAACATTGTTGCCATGGTTAGTCGTAAACTGTCGTGATACTCCAAATAGTTTTTGGGGTAAAACGGGTGTATATGAAGGTGAAAGCCACTAGATGGCAGCATTGTAGCTCATTTTGTTTAGTGGAGTGTATGCAACTCATACAGAATAAATATGACCAGGCCCTTAATAGTGTTTCAATCTAGAGGTCAAGGGTTAGATGTCGGTATCGGTTGATATCGGAATCGGAAATTAAGTGTTTGGACAATGTTAGCATATCGGATATCTGCAAAAAAGTTCATGTCAGACGTATTCGTATTCAGTCACTGATTTGTCTCTGTGAAGGTAATTGTCTGAGGAGAGGAGACATAATCTACCTGCCTCAACTCCGAGTGTGTGTGTGTGTGTGTGTGTGATGGGGGATGGTGGGGCTGTTCCTGGGGATTTGAGGGGGGGGCTGATGGGAGGGTGGGGTAGGGGGGGGGCTACAAAAGAAACAAAAAAGCAAGAGTGATGCCATAAGGCCTGCTATTCACTCATCATCGGAGCTTAACAGGCCTGTCGTTCCTGACAGGAGAAAAGCCTTTATCTGGGAGAAACTGTGTCCGTCTGCACACACACACACACACACACACACACTTAGACGCACGCACACACACAAAGAGCCACGCTTAGCGCATGGCGGGCTGTAGCTCACGCACACAAAGCAGGTAATCGGCTCTCTTATAGCGTCAGGGGTGAGAGGGAGGACGGAGGGATTTCTCCCCCGGAGCGTTCTCCTCTCTGACGGGATTAGAACCCACCGCTGTTCCCTCCAGGTGTTCCGCAGGGACAGGAGGTGAGAAAAGCGTACACGCACGAGGTTAACTCCTCACCCCTCTGAGGTGAGATCTTATCCTGCTGTTCGGTGTCACTTACATCAACACACACACAGAGGACTTTTGTAAAACAAACAAGTCTCCAAATCCATGTCGGAGCGTGAACCCAGGACCGGACGACCGCGACCAGGGACACGTTAAAAATGAGCCTCAAACACCAGACCATACAGAGGATGGAGGGGGGTACGGGGGGACGGGGGGGCAAGAAAATGACATTTGTTAATGACGTGTCTAAAACAGAGACTAAATCTGTGGGATGTGACCCCACTGTGGGACGGGTGAAGGACTTGTCATGGACCACATTAACAGGAAGAGCAGAAATAAATGAAACAAGAAAAGGTCGGCTCATTTAGGGAATGTCATACTGAAGCTCCGCCACTAGGGTAAAGGTGACAACGCCGTCCTTTAACCTGTGAAAAACAAAAAAACAAAACAAAAATAGAATTTTAATTTAATAATACATTTAAAAAAAATATAAATAACAATGATATAAATGAAGAAGTTGAAAAATAATGATAATACAATTTAATTTATTTTATTCTCTCTTTTAATTTTCTCTCCTGTGTTTCCCTCACCTGGGATTACTGACTCCGCCCCTGATGACTCTCACCTGTGTCTCGTTGTCTCCACCTCCTCTGTGTCTATATAATCTGTGTCTGTCTTCACCACTTCTTCACAGACTGTGAGGGAAACACAGCTGCTGCCTTTGATGGAGTTGTTTTTTTGTTGTTTTTTTTTATATTATTTTCCTGTGATTGTCTTTTCACCTTGTGTGTGTTTTTTTGTTTGTTGGTTTTTCTGGATGCTGCTTTTGTGATTTCTCGTGATTTTATCCACTGATTTAGACCCTTTTAGATCAGGATTCCTGGATTTGTTATGGGTTTTTTTAATCCACAAAAAAGGGTCCGCTGTCTCCCCCTGCTGTCAGAGTAAAAGTTAGACACCGTTGACCGTGATTATTGTAAAATGATCTCAGTCATTTCTTTTTATTTGACGTGGTTCACGTGTGTGGAAAAAGTTGTAAAATGATCTCAGTCATTTCTTTTATCACGTGTGTGGAGAAACTGAAATGTGAAGTGGACTCTGTTCTTCACGGAGCAGCCTAAAGATGTGGCCCATTTTTCTAGAATGTGGGTCATGTCCTGGTTTGATAGTCAGGTAGATGACACTTTTATCCGAGGCCGATTTGACTTTAAGTTTTCAAAATAATTGGGTTTGTGCTCCTGCCTTACAGCAGAAAGGTCAGGGGTTCGATTCCAGGTTGTAACCTAACCGTGCTGTGAGGTTGAACATTCACTCCAGACTGACCTCTAGTGTGAAAAGTGAGTGTGAATGGATGGTTGTTGTTGTTGTCTGTGGTGTTAAACAAAAATGGAGAACACGCTAAGACGAGTACTGCGAAACATGAAAACTGCAGTAACTTACACTACAAAGTCAAACCCTGGTACTGAACCTCCAGACCGGAGACTTGACTTACACCCGTGCCACACTCTGGGCCTCACTCCTCCACTGGACCACCTAAAGGAGGAGAGCATGAATTATGTAAATCGGTCCAACAGCTGCTGTTCCTCTCCTCTGACTGGTGGGCTACACACACACACACACACACACACACACACACACACACACACATACACATAATTCACACTCATTAGCCCTAATCAAGCAGACGTATGCTCTCTGGGTTCCCCGGGTCTGCGGGGGTTAATTTACAAAGCCTCTATTACTTTATTATCATGTCATGTCGTCGGTCACGTGACGCTCACTGTGCCACGTGCGCGCTATTATAATGTCATTACGGCTGATGACACTCGGAGCAGCAGATCTGGTCTTCCTTAAACGTGTTTTCATTGTTGTGGATGACGTAGGAGTTAATGAACTGTGATTAGCAGAAGCTACAACACCGACTGGTGTGTCCGTGCAGGAGAGCTGGGCCGCCCCCTGCTGGCTGCCCGGAGCTAACGATAATCTGATCACATGCAGACTAACAATCAGAGCGGTTTTTTTTCTTCTGTTTGTTTTTGTTATTTTTTGAGTCAAATATGGGCAGGAAAAATGAACTGATTTTTTTTTTTAGTCAAATATTGGCAGGAAAAATGAACTGATGCTCCATGAAATTAATAAAAATAGATCCTGAATAACAAATGTTCAATAAAAGTTTCCAGGTAAATGTGCAAATGTTATAATCAGACATTTGTTAATTCTACAAACATAAAATCTTTAACGCTGTATTTTAGTCTAAATTTAATTTTAAATTTAGTTTAATCTCCAGTTTAATTCTCCAAGAACAACAAATTACAACTTTAATCCATTTAAACGCTGTCTTTATTTTAAAGCTGGTGTGTGTGTGTGTGTGTGTGTGTGTGTGTGTGTGTCAACACTGGGTTTCTGGATTAAATGTTTGATTCAGGACGGGATCAAGAAATATAAT